ATCCCCAGCAAACAACATGGACACACCACAGCTGGTGCAGATTAATCCAGACAGCGAGGTCAAACACAAGCTCCAGCTCAGACCCGAGTCAGGAATGTTCGTCGACGATCGCGGACCCCGCTGCTCGCATTCTGCACTGCAGTCACACAGGCCCTCGATTATAAGAATATTTCACGTGTACCGTGGTTGTGGAAAGGTCACTTTAAAGGAGTCACCACATAAAAAGTGACAGGTTATCAACTAAAAGAGTGGCAAGTGACCAAGGGGAAGGCTTCTAGGACGACATCAAGCCCATTCCCAAGGGAAAAGCCCCCCAACCCCAAATGTCAGGAAGGTGCCCATATTAGGAATAGATAGTGATACTTTAATTTACCCCTGTGGGGTAACTGGGTACTTTTTGCCATCCCAGCTCTACTTGACTCACAGCGCAACTGGGGTTAAGGGCTTTGATCAAGGCTACAACGTAGCCAGCAGAGTAATGCCTGCAGGATCTGAACCAGTGACCCTCTAATCACAGGTACAGTGGGGCCACCTGCTTCAATCTAAAACAAATAAATAAAATAAACTGAATGGACGGCTTGTCTCCATATTGACTATGCTGACTGCCAAACCCAAAATAGGTCTTTACAAGCTCAGGCAGCTTTTCACCCACACAGCCGTATATCCCCAGTACTGCCCATGAGACAAATTTATAGCAAAACAGAGACAAAACACAGGACTGACGATGGAATTCCCCAGAAAGATTAGCAAAACTTGCTTCCATGAACTTAGTGTATTAAATATTTACTTTCCGGTAGTCACAGGTCAACTGTCACTTCAGATTAACTTAAAAAAGATCCATATGAACAAATGAGTTGTTCCATACAGCACATAAAACCAGTCACAATGTTTGGGATGATCAAAACCTTTGGCAATGTCTTCACCTTGACCAAAACACAAGCCCGTCAAGCTGGAACTCAAACCGGGTAGGTGAACTACAACCAGACACGCAGATGAAATATCAAGACACAAAGAGAAAATATGAGGGAATTAGATACAGAAAGTGGAAGGCAGATGCAAGGAGAGACCAGGAGATGAAACTTGCGGTTAAATGCTTTGAACAACCAGTAGTAATAACCTAGGGAAAGAAAGTTAGTTCCAGCAGAACCACATCCATTTAACAGCATGCTCTGTGGCAGGGTCTTTCAACTCTGGACCTCGATTCCAAATCCAGGCCGTGTTTTCAGTTCTCCCAGGTAGTTGTTTAATAATTACTGGATTCTGATTGGTCAGAGGCTTCACACCTGACTGACAGGTAAAGGAAGGCTGGAAAACCAGCAGTGCTCGGACCTTGAGGACCGTGAGTTGAATAACCCTGCTCTATGGGCAAACATGTCAACAGGAAATCCATTAACTGCCTGCTTTTATTTTTTTTTATGAAATATTTCGATTCTTTACAGGCTGTACAAAGGCAATATAAAAACCCACATCTCAGCCTCTGCACGCCCGAGACGGACACGTAGCCAACAGATGGAAGCAGATGGGTGGTAATTCGCCCGGTCTACCGAAAACACGGCGTCGCCATAGTAACCACACAAGAGTCTCTCACCATAATGAATCAGAAAGAAAATGGAACGGAGGCTGGAATCGACGTCGCATCTGCCAGCCAGGTGCCAAAGAAACAGAGGCATCCATTTTATCTGGAGAGGGTCACCAAGCGTGGCTTTCAAAAATAGCCGGTCACCCGTTGGGACGCTCCTTACCTACCGTCGCCAGAATGGAAAGCAGAAGACGCCGACATGGGAGCTCATTCATCTTAACAACTGCACATCCAGTCAGACATCTTGGAGACCTAACAGACCATAATGTTCACAGATACTGTATAGATATATGGTGCTTACATGTGAAATATAAAACTACCGGCTTTGGCAAAGGCTACTGTATGGCGCATACACACACACACACACACACACACACCATTTCCTTTATATCCAACACGGAATGTACATTTATCAGACATTAAAACTGAACTTTTTCTCTCTTAGCAGGACTTTAAATGATTCAATTTCATACAAATACCCATTGTGTTAGGATAGATTAACAACAATGTTTATGCAACCTGCATACCTGTAAAGGCTGCTTTTCATTACAGAATATGAACCAAGTCCAAAAGCAAAAAAGCATAACGGACAGGTATCAATTTAACAAATACTATAGTAAAGAACCAGCGAATCAATATCTAACTGCTGCAGCCTGGAGCATATCCCAGTCAGGATGGTGTTCAAAGCTGGGGTAAACCCTGGGCGGGGCAGAAACCCTGGGCGGGGCAGAAACCCTGGGCGGGGCAGAAACCCTGGGCGGGGCAGAAACCCTGGGCGGGGCATATGCACTCAGCTCCAGACAACTGTACACTAAAGGTCATTTATAATGTCAGCTAGCCAAACTACATGTGTTCATTTTAAAAGGACCCAGAGAAAACCCACATGAGATAATGACAACATGCACACATTCCCAACTCAGGAGGTGTGAGACAGTGCCACCCACAGAGCCACTCCCCTTGCAGAAAGCACCTTCCTAGCAAGTAAAAATCTTACATGAAGGTTTTGTAATAAAATTTAAGTACAGACACAATTCCAAAAAGCAGGTGGTTCATCTCACAGGCGCAATGAATCTTTAAAAACATCATCCAGCCTCAGGTGATGGTGAGAAAGCTGCAGAGCTTCTAATAGGTCGTGAGACTGATGAGGATTTATCAGAAGAGTTTTCCCCAGTCTTCCCGGCAGATGGAGACAAGGCCAACGTGACACACACGTAAATACAAAAATTATGGAACAATAAACAAACGCGGGACACTTTGGAAATGAATCTAAATCAAGCAAATAAGCTTTGGCACCGAAGTCAGCACTGAGGTCTGGGATAGGAGGGGGCAGAGGAAGGATAAACTGCTGAGAATGAGGAACAGGACGGGAAAAAAGACAAAAATCGATGCAGCTAATCTCAGCCAGCCGCACCCCTCCATCAACCCCAAACATGATGCTATACTGTAGTAATAAAACAAAAAAAACGTTCAATATGCGTCTGCCAGAATCCACTAACACATGCCACACGTACCTAAACTTTCTCGATTGTATCGAAAACACACAGAGCGTTACCCATTACAACAGCTGAATATTTTACTTAAGAAGTTCAGCTCAGTACCCTTGCACTTCACATTGGGCGTCTTGCAAAAAGACTGCCGTCCACTATAAGCCACCAAATATCAGGTGTGGCTCGTTGCATTGGGAAACATTTCAGTATCACTGCCTACAAACTACTCCAAAAAAAATCCAATGAATGAAATCAGTGCCATAAACAGTATGAACTTAGAAGATGCGCTTGATATCAAATATCAGCAAATGGCCAGATATGACAAAATCCCGCCCAGCCCGTAAGACAAAGTGTGACATGATGCACGACAACAGCAGCAAAACCGCCGAGAAAGGCGGGTCCAGGAGAAGCAGCAGGAAGCGGCAGCATCTGTCACCGAGGCGCGGCCCGAAACAGGAGCGCCGCGGCCCAGCGAAGGGGAACACGGCGGAGAATGAGCGCTGCGACTCCCATATGTGGGAAACGTTACAAAATTAGAAAATACAACACAGTGATCCCTTTGTGGCTCAGTATATCGTACGCTGCACCAGAAACTGCTGTTTATATGTGTGCCAGACTCCCAGGATGCGGCCTTGCCTGACATTATAAAGGATTTACTGTGTAACAGTTTGGTTCTTTGGCTGCTATTCTGGGAGCGGAAAATGGGGAGGCAGCAACTTGAATTTGTACGCCCTCCCATTAAATCTTCTTTGTTTGCGAAGGCTATAGTTTTACAACTGCGCGTAAAAACGGAGTGAAACGGAGGATGCGGCCGGCGCGGTCATCACCCACGCCGTCAGAAGGCGCCGTCTGCCGGACAGACCACACTCAGCATGTCAGGTGATTTTTGTGGAGTTTCTAAGGTCCAAAAAAAACATAGAAAACATTATCCTGCAGAGCAACTACAGCTGCTAGAGGCCAGGTTTTGAACAGAAAATAACAATCAGGAAAGTCTCAGTGCACAAAAACTTAAAAATAAATGCAAAATATTTAATCTTTCAAAGTCTTTAAAATATTAAAACACCACATGATATGAATCCAACTTGTCAAGTTTTATCCCATCATTGCACCACCCTCGTGGCCTCATGTGCATTTTGGGTTGATTAATGGCTCCAACACCAAAGTGGGGAGTAAATCTTAAGCGTAATTAATAACTCCGTATTTCTCTATGTCCTGCAGACGCAGACACTCAGTTGACATTTAAACTGGAGCAAAGAACTAACTTCACGGGTGCCTCACGTTCCCCCGAAATCTCATTGGCTGGTTTAACACATATTCCTCGCAGCGATGTTTTTCATTGGCTAGCGCGATGGCCGGAGCAGATTTATTTTAAAGTTTATTAAAACAAAAGGGTACTTACTACCCCGAGAACGGGGCAGCCGGAGCCCGATACCATTTGCTGGCCCGGAGTCATAAACCTGCGGCCCCGAAACAGCATCACCTTTTGAGCACGCCTTATGAATAGCCAGGCGGCTCCCTGCGCTCAGACCCCATCGAAAAGCCTCTCATCAGAGGGCTGAGGTGCGCTAGGAGAGCGCCCGCCTGGCTAGCCTGCTAGCTCAGCAGCTAACCGAGCGGGGACGGTGCGAGGAGGGATTCCGACACATTACAGGCTGACGGGGTTACAGGCGGCGGAGCAGCCCGCTATAGCCAGCCCACACCTATAAGAGAGACAGAAAGGGCCGCCGCGTCTCTATAATGATCGCAATCAGCTCTCAGGCTACCTAATAACCGTTTGGAGCCACTAACACACAATGGCAGTAACCCAGTATCGATCTTGAGTTGTGCGGTACCGTGCGCCGATGGCCAGCTAAGCAGCCGCCCCCAGCCGCACATTATTAACTCGACCCACCCAACGCCTTCCCCCGTTAAAAGGAACGTGGAAATGCACTGACCTTATTAGCGCTCGATTCGGCAGAAAGACCTTGTCGACTGCTGGCACTAGTGTGTGATATCCTGCTATATCCTTCTTTTATTTCGAGTCCGTCCCTTCCTCCAGAAAACCCCACCGACCGTGGAAGTGCGGCGGAAGGGGGGTGGGACTCGCGATGAAGGCGGGATTTGAAAAGGCTCCAGGCGGGGTGGCAGGTTCAGGGTCTCCTTGACGCCTAGGATGTAGCGAGACGCCAAAACTAATAACAATAAGGTGACCTAATATTAATAACCAAAGCTTGTTATCGATAATCAATAATCTGCTTGATCTATATGATTATCGCTTTGAATGTGAAACTGCGAATATATCTTTTTAATTCCAGTGATTAACAGTTTGTCTCTGTTACCTGTTCAATGAAAAATTAGTAGACAGTGTGATTTTCGATAAATATTACAATATATATTAAGCAAAAAAAAACAAAAATGATAGCCAAATACAAATTATTTACGAACAGAGTCCGTCAAATAAATTGGTGGAGTGTTCTGCCGACAAATCAATTACCTTTGCTCAATATAATCTCTGTGGAATCCAAAATACTTCCATCCAGCGGAAGGTGAAGGCGAATGCTGTCTATGAGTGAGTCCAACAGCAAGGACGAAAATTATTATGATCGGTAGTGTTGAGAAACGTAATCCAATAAAGACAGAAATGGAAAGTTCAGCTTTTGTTTCAACCAACCAGTTGAGCGTAAAGAGTCACAGTTACAGAGTACTCAACTGGGTGGTTGAAACAAAACCTTGGTCTGGATTTTTATTTTCTGGACCTGAACTCTTTTGTGAGTAATTTCCACAACACTGATGATTGGCTTAGAAAGGACATGCAGAGATCATGCAAACGCAGCAGAGGTAAACTTTACGAAACTTATTGATGATCTCAGATAGGCGTTGGGCGGTATTACGGTAACAGGGTATACAGCTAGCAGTATGGTGAGTGTATTTTAGATCCCCTGAGACCACTGAATTTTATCACTAAGATTTAAAAATTGCTTTTGAAAATACTGTGTGCTGTGGTGCAATGTGTGGATAGTATGATGGTATGAAAAATTAGGTACTGCCCAGGCTTAATTTCAACCCGGCTGACTATGGCGGTCTTTGCCATGTGACCGTTGCATGCACATCGATATCAACATCGCACATCGTACAGGTCTACGTGCATGTCTCAGTATGACATTTTTGAGTTTTTGGCTGTTTGCCTGATGCTGCAATTTTGATGGAAAAATGGTGGCTCGGGAACAAAAAGTCTAAATTTAGACAATGACAATGTAAACATTGCCACATGTTGTGACATAAAACTGACGAACTCTAGGGCAGGAGTTAGGAGAACCAAAGGGTTTTTTTTATTGGGGTCAAAAACAGGAGCAAAGGAAATAAACAGTATCACAAGGGGTCAAAACAAAACGGCTAGCAGAGGAAGAGCACAGGCAACAAAAGGATTGATTTCAATGACCGAACTGGGGCTGACAAGACAAACAGGTGTTTAAGTACCGTAGCACCAAATAGACTAAAAGCATTGCAGTGGCAGCAAAGAAACAACACAAGATGGTTTTACACAAAGTTGCTCTATAATTACAGTCCTTAAAATGACGGCACACAAGCAGAAAGAACACAGATACACCATGAATGGCTGGGAAAGGCGAGGAGGTTACATGGCAAGGATCAAGCATAAACACACATAATTGTACACGGAACAGTCGGGTATACACTAGCACTTACGACAACGATTACACACAGGAGCTATTTACAACAGCCTGCCAGGATATGCAAATGTGATTCCACATCCACCAGCGCTACAATAGAAAGACTAACGAGGAGTAACAAGCAACAGGCGTGGCTACACAGGGTAACGTCAGGGAGGGACTGCCGGACATAATGGGCAGGACATTACAGCACAAATTTAGCCTATTGTTTTAAACACTGTAGCTAGCTTGGTAACAGGCGGTGTTTCAAAGTGAGAATGGAACTGTTAAAAATTTAACAAACCAAGAAATGCTTGGTGCAATGTCAAGTTTGTGATTTTTCTTATGCTGAAATTGAAAAAAAAGAAAATAGCTGAGCATTGAAATAAGCTACCAATGTGTCCTTAACTCACATAACTGATCCAAGACCTCAACATCATATTATTTTGTCTGCATGTTTTCTGTTCCTGTTTGTTTTGGATTGTATTCTTAGCTAAGTGGTATAACTATATTTACTTTCAGTGATTATAATTACTTGTCACAAGCTTGGTAAACTTTGTTTTTGTGTTTGTACTGTACAATTACTTTATTATGAATTGTCCCATGAAATAAATAAATTACAATGTTTCAGGGCTTTAGACATGCTATGAATCCATTTCAATGACTTTGACAGCTGGCCATTTTCCATTCCATAATATATATGAGTTTTCAAAGCCTTATTAGTGATTGATGTGGAACATAAGATGTTCCAAGTTGTTGTAGATTCATCCACGTTGGCTGGTGTAAAACCCAGATGCATCTACATCAGAGTAGTAACAAAAACAGTATAATACGATGAGCTTGTCTTTCAAGGTTTATTCTTTCATTTAAATATAAGGGGGAAGTGATGCAGCTACTGAGTTTAACCACGCTGGACATGGACAGCTCTAACGGAGCAGACAAACGAGTGCCAAAGCATCTCCTTGGAAATCCCAAGCCAGCAGCGCCCCCCTCCCTCCCCGACCCCCCTTAGTGTTTGAGGCCCCGCCCCTCATTGCTGGCAGTCGTGAACCAGGGACCCCAGGGCGGTTTGGGGGGGGGGGGTAAGGCTGGGGGTGGGGGCGGTAATTAGAAACAGAGGGAGTACACTGGAGCCAAGTCAGAAATAAGATATAGGCTGTTTTTTTGTCATTTTTGGTAGCAAGCATGCATGATTCTCTCTATCACAAGGGCCTTCCGGGCATTAGCCGTGTCTTGATGGGTTTGACAGGTGTGAGCTGGAAGCTCTGCAGTGATGTTCAGCGGCTTATCTGCCGGGCCGCACCGGGTGAGATACAGCCACCAAGCCGTTCGTGATGCATGACTGCCTTCTTGTGGCACTTCTGCAAAAAAGTCCAGGCCTCAGGTTTGCTTCTGGGAAAGCATAGTGTGTCCCCAGTAGCATTTCTGCTGTGGATTCGTTGCCACAGATGGAAAAATTAAAATGAACAATGAAAGACATAGGACGGACCAGTTTAACACTCAAAGATCGGTTACACAAAACCCTTAAATAAATCCCTCAGCTAACTCTAAGTGTCATACTTAAGGGGAAAACTTATGGTGTTTTGCGCAGTCAAATCTAAAGTGCAGAATCAAGGTGTTCATCATTGGGTCCATTGGGTTCTTCCAGTCCAGGACTACTCTTCTCGGGATGCGTTCATTTACTCCGGCTATCGTCATAAAACTCGGCCATTTAATGGTAAAGATACAGTCAGAGGAACCTTAGGTTGTTTTCCTTACTTTGGTTTCTAAGGTCTTCTGTGGAACTGTTTAATGCACTTTTAGGAATTCGCTACATATAAGACCAAAATAAGGAGAAAAACTTAAACACTTAAGTGACTATTTTAAGGAATCCTTAAGGAAAAGACTTAATGGTGTTTTGTGCAACCAATTTTATTTTAAGGAAACTTAACTCAGGCTTTAAGAGAAATCTTACCGTAAGGTGACTTTTGCAACAGACCCCTGTCCTTTATTTGTCATGAAGTGTTCTGTTTACTTCAATACCTGACTGTGATGTGGGGGAAAAACATTTCATCGAATAGAGGTACTTCATTAAAGTCTCTTTGGGGGTGAAAGTGAAGTTAACCGCAGGGAGCTGGGGGATAGGGGCTCTGCCCCAGGGCCCATGACCCTTCTGTTTGAACCAATGACCTTCTGAGTGCAGCTACAGAGGCACAGTCCACTGAGCCACACACCAACCTGTCGCTTTTAATAAACTCAGCCTTTTAAACAAAAAAAAGTCCATTGTAAGCTGTCTTATGTTGTCTTGCGTGTAAACCTGCTTTTAAAACCTCAGACAAATGCTATTTCATTTCACTGTATGCCCACATATTTTGAAATGACAATAAAGTTTGATTTGACTACTGGAACAGGCCACTGCCATAAGTGACTTTAACCACGGAGCAGATCAGTCAGTAGAGTCAAGAATGAAGCTTTGTCAGCTTTGATTATGATGTGATTCTCAAACTCACACAAAAGCACAGCAGCCCTGAACTGTCTGCCAGCAAATCCTCACCTTAATCAACAAAACATAACCAAGTGGGGAAAGTGCCAGATTGATTGTAAATCAGCCATGAAGGACAATATTTCTGACAGTGACTCCTGGGTCTCAGCAACCAATTATTCAAACAGCTTTAAAGCTTTTAGGGTGTCAAGGTAATTTAGCTGACAGCTCCCTTCTAATCATGATGGCACCTTTTCATAATGGAGACAAAAACTCTGATATACAACAAAGGATTATGGAACCATGAAGCAACAAAAAAAAACTGTGGTCAAAATGTACAGACGAGGAAGGTTCTGAGAAAAAGCAGGCCTTCTGTTGTGTGCTTTACATAAGTCTCTGATCCACCAGTTATACAATGAATAATAGCATGAGGAGAGTCATAGAACTTCGGCACGGGCCTCATAATTACACCTTCTGCAAATGAGGATTTGTTCACAGTAGAATTTTTTTTTTGTGCGAATGCAGCTAGTTTTAAAAACATCAAGCTGCTCCTCACAACTATAGGATGCCTTTAATTACACGGCAACTGCGGGTTGGGAGTGAGGCAGCACACAATGGAGAACTGGAGAGATGATAATCCATCCACCCATTTGTCCTACTCATGGTCACGGGGGTGTGGAATCTATCCGAGAAGCTATGGGTACAAGACAGGGATTAACCCAGGAAGAGGCGCCAATGCAGAGATAATACTGAATTTAATAAATCCATCCATCTATCTGTATATTTTCTGTACCTCCTTGTCCTAACCAGAGCTGCAGGGGTCTGGAGCCTATCCCAGGCTGCAGGGGTCTGGAGCCTATCCCGGGCAGCAGGGGTCTGGAGCCTATCCCAGGCAGCAGGGGTCTGGAGCCTATCCCGGGTTGCAGGGGTCTGGAGCCTATCCCGGGCTGCAGGGGTGTGGAGCCTATCCCGGGCTGCAGGGGTCTTGAGCCTATCCCGGGCTGCAGGGGTCTGGAGCCTATTCTGTGCTGCAGGGGTCTGGAGCCTATCCCGGATGCTACACGTGCAAAGCAGGGAATAACACAGGATGTGCTCTCCTTGTGCCTTTTTTCACATATCGCTGTTGTTTTAATGCTAAATTTAATTACCGGTGACAGAGCATTGAACAGCGGAACGAGTCTAGCAGTGAGGAGAATAAAGCAAATCCTGCTTCATAAGCCTTGTCGCTGGACAGGAGATGGTGCTGACAGACAATCAGCAGCACTGAGGGGACGGTGATGTCTCAGTCATGACAGTGGTGCTTATCCTCAATAATGGAATAATGGAATAGCCCACTGTCCTGTTCTCCTCTTTGATTTATTAAGTGACTGTCACTATTGGCTAGACGATCCTCTTACAAAATGTGTTGGTTTTAAGGTAAAGAAATCGTAAAGCAAAACTCAGAAAAGTGAGGATGGTCATGAGAGATGAGGGTCATCAGGTTACAGCCCAGCTTTATTCCCCTTCCT